CAGCTTTCGAATCAGAAATTAATGAATAGTAAAACCTCATAATACAGTTTTCAAAATATTGGTTTTATATTTTAAAAAAAACTATCAATATATCGATTTCTTAGCAAAAATATTTTTTTATTATGATGTATGCTAATAGAATGAATCATTAAACACAGAAATAGTTTCAGTGTTTTATTGTAGTAGCCACCCCATGGTGCCATTTTTGTTGTCAGAATTTATGTTTCTTTGGTTTGTTATGGATTTCGCGCAAAGCTACACGAGGGCTATCTGCGTTAGTCGTCCCTAATTTAGCAGTGAAAAACTAAAGGGAAGACAGCTAGTCGTTACCACTCACCGCCAACTCTTGGGCTACTATTTTACCAGCGAATAGTGGGATTGACCATAACATTATAACCCCCACGGCTGAAAGGGTGAGGATATTTAGTGAGACAGGGTTTCGAACCCGCGACCCTCAGATTGCGAGTCGAGTGCCCTAACCACCATGCAAGGCCCATGATTTATGTCTTCTGCTTTATAAACATGCGAATGATTGAACTATTTTAGTGCTTCTACAGGAACGCCCACCTACTGATGAGAACGTGCCATGAAAGAGTTATGCTAGGTTACATTTTAATTAAAAACTGTTGTTCATTGACCATCCCTGTTCCTGCGACTATAACATATTTTTAGAATTTGAGACAAGAAAGCTTTATAAAGACATGTCAACTTTTCAACAACATAAATATTATTTTCTTCTAAACATGTATTGTGTAATAAGTACTGTATTTGCACAAGCACTATATAATTAACCCCTTACAGATAGCCATCTGGAAATGTTTTCATTAGCCACAAGCACAATATTGACTGTTCTCATTGGGCGGCGTGGAAAATTTGAAAAACTGACACACAAGAATATACAATATACGTTACACAAAGGACGTCGAAAAGACTGATGCTCTAAACAATAAACTAAGTACATCAGCACATACAACATTAGGTAGAATGTTAGAAATACACTCACTACATCATTCATGCAATGGGCTTTTACAAAGTAAAACGAAAAACTAATGAGGAAATGTTGGAAAGTGCAAAAGACAAAAAAATGACTGAATGTTGAAACGAAAGATGTAGTGTTATGGAGATATAACTAGATCTGACGGAAGGCTGACAAAGATTCTTATGGATCAAATCGAAGGAAAAAGAGCGAAAGACAGGGAGAGAAAGAGAGACTCACATGATTCGATCATGAAAAATGAACTGGAGATGAGAGGTGTGAATTAGGAAAGCTGGTGAAGACTTCGAAGAATAGAGAACAATGACGAACTATGACTGTCGACCACCAGAATTGGAGAAGACACAATGATTGATTGAATGGTAAGATTTGTTCTTTAAAAGTAAGATGAATAGATCTGAGCTATTGAAACTGGCACCAGTGAGGATGAGTTTTGATTTGTTTTCTGACCTAACTCATAACTTCACAGATTCTACTACATCAACAACAGCTTCTTTGTCCAAGATTGTTTGTTTTGAATTTCGCGCAAAGCTACACGGGGGCTATCTGCGCTAGCCGTCTCTAATTCAGCAATGAAAGACTAGAGGGAAGGCAGCTAGTCATCATCACCCACAGCCAACTCTTTTGCTACTCTTTTACCTACAAATAGTGGGATTGACTGTCACATTATAATGTCCCCACGGCTGAAAGGGCTGAGTTGGCGGTGGGTGGTGTTGACAAGCTATCTTCCCTGTAGTCTATCATTGCTAAATTAGGAATGATTAGCGCAGATAGCACTCCTGTAGCTTTCTGCGAAGTTCGAAATAAACCAAATCATTTGCTTTACTTGCATTTATCATATGCGATTGTGTGCATGTAAGATACACATAAAAAGAATGTATTCGGTGCCAACGAGGCCTTTCACTCAATACTAGAAGAGCTCACAGGACAGTTGCGATAAGACAGACACAGTACTGGTCAAGACTTTGTTTATATTATCAATCACACACATACGCATATATATATATTAGAACATGGGTTCCCAAACTTTCTCAGCATAAGATGGTTCCCCAAAACATTCCGCATCCTACCTGAAGCCCCCCCCCCCCCACCTACCTGATGAATCCATAGACACTGAGTACTTTAAGAGTATTGCATATTTTCCCCGACCCCTGACACTTTCCTGCGGACCCTAGTTTGAGAACCCCCTTTATTAGACTAAAGCGATGACGTAAGCACTTGAGAGGTTCACGATTAATGTTAGATTGAAATAGCAGATCAGGTGGATAGGAGAACAACTGAAATTAATATGATAACAGCATATCTACGAAGGCCTGTATTTACGAAAATAACACCATATCTGTTGGAAGTGTTGACTGTCCAATCTTCTTATTAAAAGATTCCAAAATAAAATAAAAATTCAACACTTGAAACCTCAGAGAGCTTAATGTCTACTTTAAAATAGACACGACAGTATTAGGTCTTCAAGAAATTAATGTTGCGTTTTGGAACACCCCCCAAAAAACGTACATAATAGTTAATCGAACCGCCTAAACGTTACGTTAGTGTAGCTTATATAGTGTGTAAAGTTTAATATACTCTAATCCCTTATAGTAATGCCACGCGACGAGACACACATTTAGCATGTAATGCTGTTTGAATACAAGAAGGGAAACAATGCCTCTGTAGCCATAAAGAATATCAAAGAAGTTTGTGGAAATGTTTTGAACGTTCGTAAGTGTCAACGAGGGTTCATCAAATTTCGTTTAGGTGACTTGAGCCTTAAAACTGTGATGGCAGCGGTCAACATGTTGGAATTGATATTGAATGTCTGAAGACGCTTGCTGAGTCTAACCCAAGGCACACA